TAAATAAAGTCTAATGTTACAACTAATCATGGATCCCTTTAAAACAGCTTTATTCTCGTGAATGTGAAATATCACATTATTTGCGTGAAACAGTGCAATCAATTCTCAACCTTTCCTCCTGGCATACCAGGAATACCCTCACGGCCGTCCACGCCCGGTAAGCCCTGGTGAACAAAGGAGATGTTGTCAGACAGGTGCAGTGGAGGATTATTCATCATTGTTGAACAAATACTCACAGTTTCTCCTTTAGGACCTGGAAGTCCCGTGATCCCTCTTGAGCCTTGAACACCCTGAATGACAAACAATAYAGATGCATTAATTCTCATTATCACACACCTCTGATGTTTTTATTATAACGCGGTGTGCCTACTAACCATTTCACCTTTAGGCCCAGACTCCCCCATCACACCCCTCTGGCCTTGATCCCCCTAAAGTAACGGATTGAAACATAAAGAATACAACAAACACATATAACTGTGTTTTGAACTGGGGGGGGGGGAACTTACAGATGCCCCTGCCACACCCTGAGGACCTGGCTCTCCGTCAGGACCTCGAACACCCTGCGAGAAAAACAAAACAGGGATATTATAATTTCGATTTTTAAACTGCAGTAGTTGTTTTGTTTTTATTACTAAAAGAACTCGCCCCGTGTTTGCTAGTAAATCAAAAAAAAAGATGACAAGCGCCATAGGCTTAAAAGTCCCAACAACACTCACCATCTCTCCCTTGAGACCCATCATTCCTGTGGCGCCGCGAATCCCCTGAGGTCCCTAAAACAACAAAGCAGATCCAACAGGCACCTCAGCGAGCAGAGACACAGAGCCAGATTAAAAAAAAAAAAAAGCAATTCTCACTCTGAAAAATCAAATATTTTGTTACAAGTATGARGCCTCACCGTTGGACCCTGGGCTCCGACCTCTCCTGGACCTCCCTGGTCTCCTTCTTCACCCTGAAGGAACAAAAACGAAACATCAGAAGAAAAACGACAGTTGCTCCTGTTCATTTTATGCACAACACACTGTATGGCAGCATCATAACCATTTGAAACTATCATCTATGGGAGAATTGTATAGAGAAATACAACATATACTTTGAATAATAAACCTGCATCCCATCATGTTTGTCACAAATAAAGAGCATCTTTTCACATTTGTGACTTTTGTAAACAGAAGGCAGYGAAAAGGTGAGACTTCTAGTGGAGGACGGTAAAAGAGCTGAACATCAAATTATATTCTGGTGCGAAAGTGATGAGAGGAGATGGGATGAGGCTCATTTCCATTTGCAGTATATAGTGCACAGACACATTAAGAACTGCTGAATGTCATTTCAAATAAATCAGACTCTGTGGTGCAYAATGTCTGACTGTCTTTAAACACAGCGGTGTAAAAACGCTTTTTATTAGTAGCATTTTTCTTCTGGTGTGGAATTAAGAAGAAGATTTTTGTGCATCACGGGTGAAAACGACTTTGTTAAATTATTTTATACCCATTTATATGATTTGATTGAACCAAACTGAAACTGTCACTTGTTTCATTTACGACTGAAACATTTTACCTTGTGTCCCTGCTTCCCAGGCTCTCCTGCTTCACCTTTTACCCCTTTGTGGCCCTTGYAACATTCAGAGAAGAAAAAAAGAGTGATTAAACACAAAACTTTTGTTAGGATTAGGATGGATTTTAGTGTAAAATAAAATAAAATAAAAATAATCACCTTCATACCAGGTAGACCAGGATGTCCAGAGGTTCCAGGTGGACAAGAGTTTGGACACTAAATAACAAAATGAGACAAAAATTAATCCTGACATCAGACCCAAAATGAGAAATATATATGTATTTAGATTAGAGGTTCTCAAACTGGGGTCCCAGGACCCCCAGCGGTCCATGAGCTCTATCTTGGGGG